TCAAGATTGAGGTTGTCAGATTTTTATATCACAGAGACTCTCATGATAAACGTTTAGCGCGCGATGTAAATCACGTATAGAGCATTGAGTTTTCATGAGCGGGTGGTTTGAATTCACGCATCAAGAATCACTAAATATCTTCGAAAGGAGTTTATTTCTGTAATTTTCGTTGTGCGCATCGTATTCTACGTGAAATTTTAGTTAAGAAACATGTATCAGAATACTGAAATTCGTACCTTGTCTAGTGGTCCATGGTGGGAGCGCATTTGTCTTTTCCCGGCTCGGCTTGGCAGCGCGACATCGATTTTCGAGTCGCGCCGCCTCTGCGGCAATTCCACTGCCGCTTGCTTAAATAAACGTGTTTGTTAATGGAGTTTAAATAAAAAAAAAGCTTTCTCTCCTCTCATTCCGTCCTCTCGGCCGTATCTCTCGGCCGTTCGCTTTGTTATTTTCCTCGCAAAAATCCTGTCAACCTGATGAGGATTTATCGCCCGTTGAGCCGCTGTGAAGTCGTCGCCGGGACTATCGGGACTCAGCAGAAGAGGTCGCTATCAATTCTCCGATAACGCATCAATGTCCGATATGACGTGATTGAATTAAATTGGGATCTCCGTTGACACAGGACGTAGGGAGGTTTTTAGCTTCCCAGTTTACTCTGTCTTGAAAAAGCGTTTATTGTACCGGCGAGTGAGCCCGTTGCGTTGGACGTGTTTATGCTGAAAGGAACTATGTGCATAGGTATTGCGTGTGACATAGTTCCTTTTAGCGTGAATAGTCCAGTTTTACTTGTTTTTCATGATCCGGACCTCGTTGCCGAGAAACTTTAAATCCTCGATACCTCGTCACCTTTAGAGTCCCTATATACTGAGAGTCAAGACAATGTGAATCCATTTCTGATTGGTTCCCGTATTTTAGGCCTTCACGGTGTCCCAGTCGGGAATAAAGATTACATTTTCACCGATTGCAAAGATTATATTCTAGAATGGAACAGAGAATTACGGGTTCGGAAAGGAACAAACGGAATGAGAGAAGGAACGGAGAAAGGAATTTGAGAATGGGCCGATCGAAGATTACAAAAAACGTTCAATTTCTGTAATCTTTATTCCCGTCTGTGACTTTATGAGGGGTTGTTGTCTTGACTCTCAGTATAAAGGGACTCTAGTCACCTTCCGGCCAAAGTATCACAAGCGCCATGCGACGTTTAAAAATTTCCGCCACCATTTCATTTTTTTACAGAGACATCGTTCAACGGAGCTCTCCGAAAATTTCACTGAGTGTTCTTGGTGCTGCCGATAAAATTCGGTGAAATTTTCAAACTGGTCCAACCAAAAATTTCTCTGTAGAAAAATAAAATGGCGGCGGAAATTTTTAAACGCCGCATGAAGCTTGTGATACTTTGGCCGGAAGGTGACGACCTCTGCATGTAGCAATTCGACGGTGAGACTATAAAACTACGTATCTCGATCTGCGACGTTGCAGACTTCCTGTTGTATTTTATCATAAATGGAAAACTACTCAAAGTCAATTCTTGAAAATTTCTGTGCTTCTTCCTCTCTGTGCAAATAAAACACCGTGAAAATTTGAAGAAATGATATTGATTTGTTTTCCTTCAAAAAAATAGAATGAGAGCGGAGATTTGTAGTCACCGCAAACGAGATACGTGGTGTTAGTTTCACCGACGAGTTCTTGTTGTTGTTGTTGTTTTTTGTTTTTTTTTTTTTGCAACTTGCTAAGTATACAGTTGATATAATGATGTCTGATAAATAAGGGCAAGAATTTTGCTAGGTGAGTTTTCGCAAAATAAGTTAAGTTTCCGAAACCTTTCGCTCGATTTCATGTTCCATAGTCATCATGAGGCTGTTGACCTCTGATTGTAACTTTTACGAAGTAGGCAAAATATCGGTGCGGCCGACGTCTTTAAATTATATTGTCTCTGATCAAAAACGTTTTGAAAGGGAGATATAAAGCTCCGTTTCAGAGGTTACATTATTATTACGTGAACCCCAGTATCTGTATCGGAGGACAAAATAGGCCGAGCAAACAACCCTCTTTGTGCGTTGAAATGTCGCCTTTAAACGATAGAAAAGGTTACAGCAGCGGAAAAACGCCATACGGGAGGCAGCAGCACCGAGCAGTAATTTCAGCCGTATACTGTCGTGATAAGATAAAACCTACTATGAACATCTGGACGCTGCCAAGTCCTCCAAATAAATATTACAATTTTCTTGCGAATTATACTGCATTATTTTCTTCGGTTAGTTACATACAATTTTATTCAGAGCTTAATTTAATTGATCTGAAAATTTTCAAGAAAAAAAATTATAACTTATTCGTAAAATGAATATTTTGCGAGAGGAAATTTGGCGACGTTTAAATGTTTATACGGCGTCCTTTCCCAGCACGGTAGCATAGGACGCGGAAAAACCGCTGGAGCGAAATGCAACGCGGGCAGTATCCTTAGAAGCCCAAGGCGCTCCAATTATCTTTGATCAAAGCGAAATTTACATGGGCTATGCGGTGCCCTCTCCGTTTCTCCACCCCGCATGCGGGGAGAGTTTCGCCTCGATTCCCTTTTATTTCATGCGTTTAAAGGCCGCCCTTCTAACAATGTTGCTCTTTCTCCTTTTCTGTTTTTTTCGTTTGTTTTTCGTCTCTTGTTTTATACTTTTCCTTTTACTTTGTCTCTAGTTTGGTTCGTAGTACTCTTTCTCTCTCTCTTTGCGAGGACAGTTAGGAGAGAATATTTTGTCCTTCCTCCGAAGAGAAATTAAGATTTTAATGAATAATAGTTAAAATCAATGTGTATTCCGCGGAACACGAGGAACCCTGCTTAAACAGTGGCGTGGCGTGCTTTGCAGTATATCAATTGATCTACCACTTAAACCTATGGAAAAAGATCGATAAACAGGGTGTTCGCAGGGAACACTTTAATAATAGATTCCTCACCATAGCTACAAATGAGGAAATATCGATAATCGATCATTCACGCCACGCCACTGATGATAGAACAGTAAATGATAGGCTCTGAGTTATCAAAGTGTTAGAATAATAATTATACGCAAGGTATAGGGGGAAAAATACAAAAAAAGTAGTACTGTAAATAATAGGATGGAAGAACATTACTTGATCTACGCTATTCTGTGGAGAAATTATAGTCAGAAAATCGAAAACTTAGGATTAGTTCTACAAAATGAACTCTAATGAGTTTCGATGCAAAAATGAAGGGTAAATAACTATTAACCTCAGGCAGATGCATTGAACATCGATAAATTTTAAAAATGATGCGTTTAAAAATAATACGACGTAAAAATTATTCGTCTAAAAAGTATTTCAGGATATTGAGGTATTACTTCAGCAGATTGTTCACTCATCTTGTGCACGTACATTTAGATGGTGAATACCGGAAAATGTGTACCTCGATTTGCGACGAGCAGATTTTTGTCATAATTAAAAGAAAAAAAACAAGAAGCGTTACTTCTTAGAATTTTTACTGATTTTTTTCACTGTACACAGAATGTTTTGAGAAAATTTCGAAAAATAACGTTCATATCAGTGCACCACCTCCTTTTTCTATGAAACCTGCAGGAATCGCAGAGCATAAGAACGGTTCACCATTGATTTATCTGTGTCGAGAAGATGCGTGTGGTTGGTGTTGTTGACGATAAAGATTCATCTTCTTAAAATTGAACTTTTCTTGCAAAATGACAACCCTGCGGGCGAGGAGAACGGTATAAAATAGAAAGATTCTCCCAGAACGTTACGGCAAGCAATCACAAGAGCCTTAAATTTGGGCGCATCATGTGAGCTTTAAAGAGGATTTTAAGAAGAACTGGCGGCACCTGTGTTTTTCTCACGAAACTTTACAGCAGCGTACTGAAATTGAATATTTAATTTCTAAGATTCTACGGGAATTCAGTTGCTCCGCAGTTGCGTACGAACCTTGTACACTGATTACTGAAAATTGATTGACACAACATCGCAAGATACGGGCTTTGTCGATGAAGGTCAATCGATAAAAGATTAGTGGAATTTCAATAATCAACCCGATGAAATGAAGTCGACAGTTATCTAGATTCAGGAATCAGAAAGATGACCTGATTCGTGGAGCTGTTTTATATACCTACGGACGTATTTATATGCTAAAAGGAACCATGTGCATAAAGCATGCAACATAGTTCCTTTTAGCATAAATACTTCAAGCGGCTCTACTATTTTAAGGGTGAAACTCCTAAGCCACTTATCTTGTTTTCGGTGTTGAAAAAACCTTTGCTCCTATTTTACTTTTTTAAAGAAGGACAGATAAATCGACGGTGTAAGTCCGCAACCGGCATTTGATACTCTCCGCTTCTATTTAATTTATTTAAAAGAGAACGAATTGACACCATTTCTTGAAGTTGTCGCAGATTTTTCTTCGCACAGAGAAGAAAAATCATGTCAGTTTTTACGGATTGCTTTCCGTAAAAAAATAAAGTATGACAGGAAGTCTGCAATGTCACAAACCGAGATACGTGGTTATTGACTTACAATGTCGAAATATCATGCCTTGAAAATTTATCAGAGTTTAGCTTCGCTTGGAGGAAAAAAATTTCCGAAGTTTTTAAAGGTTGACGTTGAGTTGTTCTACGTTAAAAAAATGAAGTATGTACTTTATGACAGGAAGTCTACAACGTTGCAAACCGAGATGCATGCTTCGGGAGATTCACCGTAGATTTGTAGTCCAAGAGCAGTGATGCCAGGCGTACGGATTTATCCGTGCCGCGCGGACATTCCCTATACCGACACGGACCGCGTACGGACAAAAACCTTATGGGAAAAACGCTTCCCTATCTTAAAATATCCGTACGCGTGACGTCACAGAATGACGCTCAGCCAATAGCAGCACGGAGAGCGGTAGAGCGTACGGATCTCGCACACGGAGCACCCGGGAACACTGTCCAAGAGTAATGGGCATTTGAATAACCGTATAAATGGAGTATAATGAAGTAGGGATTCTGTTACAGGGGTCGTTTTACTCTGATTATTGGGATGTGAGCTGACGTCAATGGAATGATTGGGGGAGGCGACCGGAACCTCACTGCTATGCCTCCACCAAGATGACGTCATCCTCCCAGCTCCAGAATCAGCAGGCCGACAATTCAGATATCGTAAGTTGCACTCTCTTTCATTTTAATGCAGGGTCGGATTTGCGCTCAGGGGCCCGGGGTGCTGGGTATTAGAGGCCCCGAATCCCAAAATTCAAGGGCCTGATGACACCCAAAATTCCAGGCCTAGGGCCTCTTGAAATCAATCTCATAGACTCCAAGGACCTTTAGAGGATCCGGACTTAGAAAAAAATCGCCCAGGGGGCCCAGGGTGCTACAGCACACCGGAAACCTGGCTAATCCGGCTCTATTTTGATATTAATACTTGTCTTGCAAGAAATTATCTGTATTTTTTAGCCGCGCTCATAACAGCATCGCATTCTTGAAACGTTTGTTTGGTCAATAAATTGGAGAGAAATCAGTTTCATTATAACGTCTGATTGTTCCTAGTTAAATTTTCAGTACCTTACGTAATGAGTAAGACGTGGCGAAAAATTGCGAAAATTTCCGAGAGTGGAAGAAAAAATTGACGAGGTAGAATGTGAAAATATCGATGGACTCAGTTAAATCAATCTGTTTTCCTCAACGATAGTTATATATGAAGCTTCATCGTGATGAAATTGACTTCACATCTTCCGAGAGGAAAAAAAAACTTTCAGGAAGAGTTAAGGCTAAGTTATGTGGCTCATTTAAATGTAATCATGACTCATTTAATATCTCTTTAAATATTTTTTCAAATGCGAAAATCTCGTTGCGAAAAAAATCGTCTCAGTTAAACATAATGTAAAAAATAAGATTTCATGGTTTTAAAAATTGCGAATTCAAAACAATTTTCATTCAGAGAATTTTTTGTTGGGAAAAGTTGCGACGCAGATTGAGATTTGATCGGAATCCGATCATTAAATCGTGCACGCTTGTCAAAGCGACGTCGCGTATGTAAATTACGTGAAGATAACAATTCGAACTCTAGTGCGATGGTTTTGCCTACGCACCGATTTGAAGGCGGTTTGGATCGTAGATTCCGAGTCCCTTTTCTGGAGAAAAAAGAAACTCATTTGGATTATTGAGAGGTACCTCTTGTTTTAAGTACAATTCAATCCTATCAACGCAACCATGCAATTATTTTTCCCCGGCGTTTAAATTGAACTTGAATTTCATCGATTAAAACACAATTCGCCCTGCCTCATGCAGTTATTACTCCTCTTTTGCGATGGATCACAAACTCCTTTCATCTTAATTGTCACCCCATAGAAAGAGGTGATTAGAAAGAGCGTACGAGGGCTAAAGGTTATCTTTTTTCCACAAGAAAGAAGTAACTTGAATGTGCCCTCAAGAAAATGCCTTGAGCCAAGCCTATAATCGCTTGAATCAATCAAATTTCTTCTCAATACAAGTAAATGTCTTCTTCATAAAATTATATTATCTGCTAGATTCAGTAGGACATTTTCTTTCGCGGCATATATAGCAATAGGTATTAGTGCTTTAATCGAACCTATTTTTTTTATTTTAGATGCAAGATGAATTTTTAGTCCAAGCAACAATACTTATTGCTCCGGAAAATTGTCGGGTGGTCTCAGAGCTCACTACGTAGTTGCCTTAGGTACAATTAGATTGCATTTTGAAAAGGAACCAAGAGCATTCTAATGTTACTAAGATTGTGCAACATTTTTTAGCCTGCAAATATATACTGATCGTCTAAACGAGATTTATTTTTACTCCCGATGAGCTGTGAATTCAAGACAAAAATTACCTTTGTAAATTCAAGTTTTTGCATGATTTTAGGAGTACTGCAAAGATTATAAGTTGCACAATTCTAGCAACATTGGAATGCTCTTGGTTCCTTTTTGCAGAATGCGATCCAATTACTTACAGTACATTGTTTGTTTAAAAATATAATTATAGCGAAACCACGCAGAAATACATTTCATGTTGTCAAATTCAAAGTTTTTCAATGCGATGGGAAATTTTCTTGATCAGATTTTGATGTAATCCAGAACGCGATTCGGCAAGGATGCATTCCCCCTCTGTGGAAGTTTGACGCATAGGATATCTAAAGCGATACGAAAATGTTCAGTAAACACGATTATTTATTTACGCGGCTCCAGATTCCTTGAGATTTTGAAGCGCTCCGCTAAATACTTTATGAGCCCTCTTCCGCTTTTTCGATACGCATGTTTCAGTTCGTAAGTTTTCCAAAACTCCCCCAGTGTGTCCGTAACCGCGGCTGAGTGGCATCTCGAAGGTTCTCGTGGGAGCATACATGTTGCCTCTCAGACCCTAAATGACTAATTAATTTACGATAAGTTCCGGGCTCTGGTAAAATTGCACTGCGCAAGAGATTGAAAATTCAATAAAAGCAAAAAGTATCTACTCCTATGCTTGACCTCGCTTAATAATGCACGACCATACTTTAAAACTCTATTAGATCCATTTCAGCCTGATTTTAAGCATGCTGCCAAATATTGTCTAATTGTTCAATTTGCTGAGTTGCGGGCGCGTAAAATTTTAGCTATAAAATTGATGACTTTGTGTAGAATGGTATCACTGGTATTCTATTTTACTCGAAGGATCAAGTTACATGTCGTATATTGATCGAGTAAACCATAATGCGGCCCATTTTAGATCAATTTTCTAGACAGAGCGAGGAATTTGCGGACAGCTCAATTTGCTGAATTGCAAGGTACTTCGATGCTAAGAACTTCAGCTGTATACGTGTGATTCCAAACAAAATTGTTTGACTAATTTGTTGTGAGTCTGTTTTTCTCGGATAATTGAAACTTCATGAAATGTGGCGGTTAGAGGAAACCACTATTTTACAAAGAAATAATCGAAGAATTTGACCACATATTATAGACCTGACAGACTTTCTGTTTATGGTTCAATTTTCATATTACGAAAATCTCTGTCGCTTGAACACAAAATGCGGTCTAAGTGCGGAAATACTCAGGCGCTCTAGCTAAAAATTTCAATAAAGAAAAAAGTAACGATGAATCAATGATAGTTCTGGTTAATTTTAGGGCCAAAAAGGAGTGCAGTGTGTTGTGAAATCGATAGTTTTTATATCTCATAAAAAAATCACAGGAACGGAAGTTTTTTTTTTGCACGTCATACTGTACTATTCAAATCAATGCTAGTACCGAGTACCCATTGCGTTCAATAAAAAGAAAAATGTGATAGAATAGAAGGAGGGATAAAAATGAAAAAGAGGATAACAAAATTAAAGGGTAGGGATAAAAAAGACATAAAATGCGCGAGCTGATACCGATAGCGGGTTGACACATATAGCTGCTCCGTTTCGATGGGGGGCTGGATCAAAAGTTGAAAGTTGGTACCTCAATGAACGACTCTGTGAGTGCGACGCTGGTGTTCGAAAAAAGGGCTTTCATCCTCGCTTAATTTGACATTCAGTCGTTGAGGCTAAATTCAATTACTTCCGCATTCTGCCCTTCTATTTGAGTCGGGTAGCTATAAAGGAACCCTAACTCCTCCCCCTCATCCTTAAACCCTTGCTCACTCATTCATTCTCATCATTCGTTTTGACTTTTTGAGTGACATGCACACACCCATTCAGCAGCATCCAGTCGGAACCTCCAGTCACAAAGAAAAAAATAGGGCAATCGCAGAAATCAAACTGCAATATATGCTGAAATAATAAGAGTCTTGACCTTGGTGTGCCTAAACAAGAATTTTACCTTGACCAAAAACTATGGTTCACACGACTGAATATCTCGATTACCTGAGCCAAAACCTTTGATGTATCGTACGAACCGAATGTTTTCTTCCTCACATGTTACCCTACTATCTAGTTATCTTTACAAAGAGGCTTACTGCGCACGATCTGAAAATAATTATGAGACTTAAGGATGAACACTGAGAGGAATTTAATAGCCGTAGAAAATGCAAATTCGTCGTAGCTTTCAGAAATATTCGTTACACTTTTTTTTATTTTTTCGTTTGGAAGCAGTTGCGTGTTTATTTCTCTTATTTTTATCGTTTCGAAACATTGGGCAAAAATCATTCCTCACCTCAATGCAATTTCATTTATCTTTTCATCAAAAGAAGAGCAACAGCTTGAATCGTGGGGTACGTCAGAGGGTGCAGGTTACCTCAGTCGAATCTCGCTTTAATGATGTGATCTCAAACTGCGAACAAGCAACTATTCGAACTCCGGTGCAGTGGTTTTGCCTACTCTCCCAAATCAAGGAGTTTTTACTGTTGTCAAATACGATAGTGTTCAAAATCTCCCTCACTACACATAGAATAAAATTAATTTTTGCTTTTAAATTGACAACATATTTATTTAATGTTGGCAGATTATTGAAAAGTGTACAATTTTCTTATGGGCTCGCACGGAGAGAGCAATGATCTATTGAAACAATTTTGCGACCATGCTGTCTTTGACCGGCAGTCAAGATGAGCGATTAACATTTATTGAAGTAGTAAGAGCGACAGCGCCACAAAGCCAGGTTGCGGGATGAGCATAATAAAACTCACGCGACTTTCACTCTGAAGAAAAGAGCCTGTCTTTCTTTTAACAAATCAAAATAAACCCTCGGTCTTTAAATAAAGCTTACTCCAATGTCTCAAAGGTTCATTTTGAGGTATAGAACCTTAATAAAACAACAATCCTTAAGCCTCTAGGAGTCTTGGTGTAATTACAGTCATCTAAGACAGCTTCTTTCATTAAGGAGGTCATGTGTAAGAAATACTAACTTATTCCTTGTCATCTTTCACAATGTAAATGCAACGTCTACAATTTTTTGTATATTGAGAGCGTTAAAAATGATCGTCTGATGTCCATTGTCCACGCTCTCAACATACAAGTAGAGTAGTACTGCGATACTTTTATTTCATTCAGTGGCTTAACTTCTGTGGTCGTAGTCTATGTATAAAAGAAGTATGAAACATAGACAGAGGAAAACCTCTGATTTTCATGGTTTAAGGTTTTATGAACTTGCGTCAGCATCTATTAAAACCATAACATTTTTGCTTTGATATTTTTCATTGTCCATGAAAAATCATAGCAATCCTCTGCGGCATGAGGATCCCTTCATTAGGAGCTT